AACGGATAAAGAAAAAAACATTAAATTTTAAACTTAAGTTTTATGTCGGCCTGACGTGAAATTATTAGATTTTGGACAAAGTCGAAACATCTGGGGTGGTACTTTATGGGGGGCCGTTTTTATATTTTATGGAATATATCTGTTATTTTTTATGTTTGGAGAAAAAAATTGTTCAAATAAAAGTTATTTCTAATATTATTATATATAATTTTTGCTTTATGTCAAAATTTCCTGAAATGGTCCGTATTCGAGAAATTTGTCAAAATGTGCAAAATTCTGATTTTTATGAAAATTATTGAAATAAAAGTTATTTGCGATATCGATCTCTATAATTTTTGTTTATACATGATTTTTCTAAAATGGACCGTAATGGAAAAATTGTAGGAAAAGTGCCAAGTTTAAATTTTTCAGTATATTCATTTTCAATAAATATCTATAGAAAAATGTTTCGAGGTAGATGTATGTGGAAAATGTATATATTTATTTTATCCTCTAAACATTTATAGAGGTGCTGCAATAGGTTGTACAAAATAACCGGAAAAAGCCCGTAATATAGCTAGATAGGAAAGTCATGTGTTGGACACATCAGATTTTTATAACAGTCTCAAATAATTTATTTGACAATTCGAATCTTTTTTTGAAACCCTTTACAAATTTAGATTAAATTTCCGCTCAGCTTCAAATGGTATTTGTAGTTAAATTGTCTTGGTCTAAAGAGAGATAAGTAAATTTTAGTGCCTTAGGAGATAACTCGCGTTGTCTCAGATGGTACTACATAATATTTAAGTGTTAGTTAGTTGAGATAGCTCAAGATAGCTTGCGTTTGCATATTAAAAACGAGTTGTCTTGATTTACACTATACCAAATCTAGTAAGGGAAACATATTAACTTTCCTTATTTAGCCCACAAATAGCTATTTATGCAACAACTTTTTGAATTAATTAACTCAAAATGTACTTTTTCGGACTGTCTCCCTTTGCACGCGCATGAGCGAATTATTCTTTATGTAATTAAAATAAATAGCGATATACTTGTGTTCAATAAAAATCACGTTTCAAGTTGTAATATAGATATAAGTAGTCGGTGCTCGTAATAATACCAAATATAAACACGTTGAGATAGATTGTAAATCATAGTGATAACTGCACTATCGAAATATATTTATCTTCTCATTTTATAAACATCCGTTATTATCTGAAATTCTATTATTTAAAAATAAACGAGAATTGTCAGTTCAAACTTTGGTCTGAACTCGATATAATTATAATGATAACTAATTCTGCGTTTTTAATGAAACTTGTTTCTGACATCTCTATCCATAAAAATATTAAATGAATACCAGTGGTAGCTTGTCTCTAAGGGCTGTAGTGCTGCAGGCCTCCCAGTATAAGGGGGAACCAATTTATATAAATGCAAACAGAAGGGATGTTTCATCCCTAATAAAGGTATATAATAAAATCGCAATTAACATTTTATGGGACTTTTACTGCACATGTGGCTCAAACAAAATCTGTGAATTTAAAAGTTAAAAGGTTTGGTTTCATTAAGAATTGTACCTGTACCGCCCGGTTTCGTGGGACAATAGGCTACCCTTATTTTATTGCCTTTTAAGACTCTGATGAGCGCACGGTTGGGTTAGAAAACCTGACATTACTTCCAATATGAGTTATAATTAGACGTCGTCCTTCACCGGAAGAAACCTTCAGTCCTGTAGGTAATCCTTCTTAAAAAAGCCTGTCGTGAAGACTGAATGTTTGTGTCCTACCACATTTTGCTGTGTTACCTTCATTCACCCAGGTTTCGTCCAAATAAAATATTTTTTGCCTTCTGCACGTAATTTTTAAATGGTTCTGAGGTATCTCCGTCTCCAACAAACAATTTCTTCAGAATCAAGTGCTGTTTTTCTGTCCTGTTTAGGTATCCCACTTGAACCTCAAATCTATTAGAGTTTCCCGTAATTTTGTCTTTCCCGTTTTAGTAAAATACGGATTGCTATTAATTGAGTCCAAAACCTTGGCAAGTGTTGGTATCCCCTTTTTTAAAATAAAATTCGTTAACTTTCCTTCTTATTCCACTTTTAATTTGTTCAGTAAATTCCACTTTTTTACCGTTTGTATTTTTCTTTGGGGGTTTAACAACTCGTTATTTTGCTTACACCCATTATATTACTTGTCTTTTCAACAGTATCGTCAACAGAAAACGAAGGGTTTTCTATTCTTAGGCAATTATTAACATTGCTTACAAATATTTTCTCGTTAACTGACAAAGTAAACTTTTTTTATACGTTTCACAAGTGTAAACTTTGAACTTAAACCACACTGCATTTTTCAATACTACTGTCACCATTAACCGAAACTATTGTCTTCATCTAGGAAAATTAAATAGGTTTGTCAAAGTTTTGTTCCTAATTTGAAATTAAAAATTATACGTCTCACATCTATTACTAATAACAAAGTGCACATTATCGGTGTTCACCTAATACAGAACACACTAACTAAAAATCAGTGTTGCCAAAACATAATAATCTATCCATCATAACGGCCAGCATGTATGGGGTAATTTTTTTGTATTGACAGCATACGCCAAGCGGTATCTAGACTTTCTGAAGGCTATGACCAGCTCTGATTTATCAGAAATAATTTCAAGCGCTTTTTTTGAGGCATGCAGCATGCAGTGTTTTGAGATACAGTCTATTTTGATTATCCTGTGTTGTAATAAAAGAGGATTGACATTAGTTAATGTTGACGTACTATAGTGTTAAATAATCATTGCTATCACGCATTGCAACCAGAATGAAAAATGATTTCCGGAAATTTCCTTTGTTGTCATAGTAATGATTAAAAAAAACTAGGTACTTAATTTGTTAAAAAATGTTGGTGTGAAATTTTCACTATTAAAATCCGCCTCTGTTTGATAATGGCGATGCGCCTACTTGACAAAATGTAAAATTTTACATCAGATTTTTCAATTAAAAAATCTGATGTGTCCAACACATGACTTTCCTATCTAGTTATTACATGCTTTTTCCGGTTATTTTGTACAACCTATTGCAGCACCTCCATAAATGTTTAGAAGATAAAATAAATATATAAATTTTCCACATACATCTACCTCGAATCATTTTTCTATAGATATTCATTGAAAATGAAAATACTGAAAAATTTAAATTTAGCACTTTTCCTACAATTTTTCCATTACGGTCCATTTTAGAAAAATAATGTATAAACAAAAATTATAGAGATCGATATCGCAAACAACTTTTATTTCAACAATTTTCATAAAAATCAGAATTTTGCACATTTTTTCTCAAATACGGACCATTTCATGAAATTTTGACATAAAGCAAAAATTATAGATAATAATATTAGAAATAACTTTTATTTGAACAATTTTTTTCTCCAAACATAAATAACAGATATATTCCATAAAATATAAAAACGGCCCCCCATAAAGTACCCCCCCAGATGTTCCGACTTTGTCCAAAATCAAATCATTTTATGTCAGGCCCAAATAAAACTTAAATTTAAAATTTAATGTTTTTTTCTTTATCGGTTTTTGAGTTTTCTTCAAATTTCGAAATTTACAAATTTTCTCAAATATCTCGAATACAGTCCATTTTAGAGAAATTATGTAAAGAATAAAAATTATAGAGAATTATATTACGAACAACTTTTGTTTGTACAATTTTTATAAAAAAATATTTTTTTACATTTTGTCACATTTCTCGAATACGGACCATTTTAGGAAAATTTTGTATAGAACAAAAATTTTAGACAATAATATAAGAAGTAACTTTTATTTGAAGAATTTTCTTTCCCAAACGTAAATAACAGATATAATCCATAAAATATAAAAATGACCACCCATAAAGTACCCCCCCAGATATTCCGACACTGCTCAAAATCTAATCAGTACATTGGACGCTGGAACAAACACACACACACAGACACGCGCGCGCGCGCCCACACACACACACACACACACACACACACACACACACACACACACACACACACACACACACACACACACACACACACACACACACACACACACACACACACACACACACACACACACACACACACACACACACACACACACACACACACACACACACACACACACACACACACACACACACACACACACACACACACACACACACACACACACACACACACACACACACACACACACACACACACACACACACACACACACACACACACACACACACACACACACACACACACACACACACACACACACACACACACACACACACACACACACACACACACACACACACACACACACACACACACACACACACACACACACACACACACACACACACACACACACACACACACACACACACACACACACACACACACACACACACACACACACACACACACACACACACACACACACACACACACACACACACACACACACACACACACACACACACACACACACACACACACACACACACACACACACACACACACACACACACACACACACACACACACACACACACACACACACACACACACACACACACACACACACACACACACACACACACACACACACACACACACACACACACACACACACACACACACACACACACACACACACACAGACATCATCGCGAAAATAGTCAAAACGGATTCAGGGGACCTCAAAACGTAAAAATCCGTCGAAAACTCGAGGTCGAAAAAAATCATGATTCCTATACTTTCCTTATATCTGTATACAGATAGGAAAGTAAAAATTTAACAGTATGTCTTATATTTTATAATTACTCTATGATTCGCCTTAAAATAATGATACTTTAAAAAAATACTTACATAACTTTTAGTAAATGAAGTAATAAGTGTGCTTGGCACACTGACACATGATCCCCAAGCTCTACAAATCCTTGTTGGGAGATCGGTATATTTGCCAGGAACGTTTTTACCGACTCTTAAAAATTTAAGAACCTAAAAAAAAATTTTGTCTAATAATATAACGTGACTTGAAAGTACACAAAATGTACCAGAAACTCAATAATGCAAAGAACGTTGTTTTCTTTTTCCGACATGAAACCAGATCAGACCACATTGGTTTCATATTAGTAGGTATACATTGATGAACATAAAATGCCAATTTGAGATTGGATTAAACATTTTTTATGACAAAAAACAACCGGAAAACTGGCTATTTTTATATACTGATATTTTTTACGTTTTTTAAGTACATATCCACATTTCCGTTAGAAAACTAATACTAATTGGCTTTTGTCGCTTCTAGCAGTAAACATAAATGTCGCTAACAATTATTGTTTCTTAATTTGCTTAAATAAATTGTATTGTAATAGAGACATCCTGTATGCAGCGACATCCTAAACAACGTATTTCTCATAGCCGACAGCTCATGAACTTACATAAGTTCCCTATGAATAATACCGATATATAAAAAGACGAATTTCTAGTATTGTAGATTAGATTGTGATATATTTTGTTCGAGGGTTAATATAGTTATTTTTTGCTTGTCTTTTATTTCAGTTTTTTAGTAATAAGATTCTAACAGTGCAGCGGTGAGATATTAACGCTCAATTCGAAGTGACCGGTGATTTAATACGAGCAATAGAGACTAGTGTAAATAAAATAATAATAATAAGCTTAGCCCCTAGATTAAAAGTTTTGTATTTTCTACTGTGACTATGGGACGCAAATTAAAAAGACGGGAAACCTCATCAGAATCCGATAATGATTACGGGCGGTATCGTCGGAAAAGTGGCAGTTCGAGGAGGAAATCGAAGAAACGTTCTTCGTCACAAGATAACGTATCTTGTACGCCCCCCTCGCGTAACGGCGATAATGATTCATGCGAAATAGTGCAGAAGCAAAACACGAGAATTAAAGAATTGGAAGGTGTTGTCTGATTTTTTAAAAAGAAATAAAACTGCCGATAATTCCTCTCATTCATTAATTATAAGGGCTGACTGTATTCCTGAATTTTCTCCTAGCCTTTCTTATGCGTCTGCAAAAAAAATGGCTAGACAAAATTGAGCAGATTGGTAGAATAAATGAGTGGAATGATCAAGTAAAAATTTATCATATGCCGTCTAGATTATCTGGCTTGGAAAAATCCTGGTACAGTAGTTTAGACAATTACGAGCATTCATGGATAGAATGGAGACAATTGATCGAGAAAGCTTTTCCAGATCATCAAGATTTTCCATCTACACTACGCAAAATGATTGCCAGAGTAAAAAAAACCGTCTGAAACTTGGGCGGAATATTATTTTGCCAAGATGCAGCTACTTAGAGCTTGTAATATAGATCAAAATAATGCAGTAGCTATGATAATTGATGGCCTATCAGATAGCTCTATACAGAACGGGGCAAAAGCTGGCAGATACGCCGACCCAGAGACTCTTTATGGCGAATATTTATCATCACTTGTACCTGAGGAAAGTCCAAGGGTAGAAAGAGGTGATATTACAAATAAAAAGTTTATGAAAAAGGGGCGATGGAAAAATAAACTGTAAATGAGACTCGTTCCAATAGCCACTACAAGCAAAAACTAAAGTGTTTTAATTGTAATCAGTTAGGGCATATTAGCAGAGATTGCTCTAGACCTAGATTAGAATGTAAATACTGTAAGCATTTGGGGCATGTTGAAACTAAATGTCCCCGCAAACAACCATCCACTTCAAAAACAGTCATGAGTTGCTCTTTTCCGCCCGAAAAAATGAACTAGCACTACATTATGCCTTGTAAAATAAATGGTAACCCAACTGAAGCACTTATAGATACTGGGTGTGCTTGTGTAACGATAAAGTATGAAGATGCCAGACGTTTTGGAATTTCATGGGAACCCTACAATATTCAAATTCATGGATACGCTGGAGGAATATCAAGTGCCATGGGTAAAACTGTTTTAAGGGTACAATTGGATTTAGTTGACACTGAAACTGAAGCTCTTATTGTCCCAGATAATATTCAAGAAGTTCCTGTAATCATCTTCCGCCAAGCAAAATAAATATGGTCATATCAGAAGGACTAGAAATACCCACGAATCACATAGGATATGTAAAGTTTACCACATCTGGAACGTACAGTGGTGACATATTTGTTGACTATCAAGAAAGACCGAAACCAGGGCCGTAGCTAGCCCCATATTTCAGGGAGGGCTGAACAAAATCTTGAGGGGGCTTCATTTTTTTTTATTAGAGTATAAAAATTCCAAAAAGACATGAGGAGTTTTGTTTTGAATTCCTTCCTCCGAGGAGGGTATTAAGAAAAACAAGCTATTACAAAACACATATTTATTCAATAAAAACATTTTGTTTAAACAAAAGAATAAACTATACAACAAAAAAAATATAAAACTTCTTTTCCTATGAACATTTAACTGGTTGAGGGTTGAGTTAGTAAAAACGGAATCAAATATGCCAAAGAGTTAAAAAATTATTTTTTTTATCAATTTTCAGAATAATTGCAGTTTCCTATTTTTTAAATTATTAAACTCAACCAGCAGATTTTCAATATTTGTTTTTGTTCTCTTTTTCAAATGCTAAAAAAGGTTTGCCAGTCTCGGATGTAACATTGACCTCCGCTGAGGTGGCTGAGGTCTACCAATTCTAGTAAGGGCAGAAAAACTAGATTCACAAAGAGTCGTACTACAGACAAAAGTACGGCAAGTCGCTAGAAATTCATAAGTTTCTTTAAAAGCAGTGTTTTGCCTAAAAATACACTGAAAAATATCGGGATTCTCTGCAGCATTCTCGTTTTTCTATTGATTTATATATTTCTTGACGACTTGTATTTCCGCAGCACTTATCAATTGAATGCCCAGTTCGGCCAGTGGTTGATATTTTTCAATATCTAATTTTTCTCCTGACATAATAGCCTCAATTAAATCATTGTTGTTAAATCTACGTCATAGCTCTACTTATATTATGTCAAGAACTTCAAAAAATATTAGTTTGAAATCTGCTTCGCTAACGACTGTAGATCTCATAGGCTCGGTAAGTACAACATTTTTTAACACTTTGCTGAGTTTTCTTTTTCTTGGCGGTGTTGGGTCTTCTGAATCAATAATTGAAAATTGTACGTTCATTATATTAACGAGCCGGTGGTACTCATTATTTCGCTTTTCTTGAAGCGTTTGCACAATGGCTGAGACTATTTTCATCATGTCAGTCAGTGTGGCCTCTCTGCTTTGTAGAATTTTGTCCGTGCGTGTACTGCTATCTATCAGTAAGCAGTTTTAAGTTTTAAAAAAATATCTTGGTTTGACACTACAGGGAAATTAGGGGAATTACCGAAATAAAATTTATGGTTATCCGTTTTCCGATTTCCAGTTGCAATTTATTGTCTGTGGCTTAATATTTATTATGTTTTGACTAAAAGGGACAGTAAGTAAGCAATAAGTAACTGTTAATAAATAAAGTATTTTCTTGTAAGAGAATATAATATAAGTGACTCAGAACCATTACTAAAAATATACTATAAAATTTTTATAGTAAGTACATTTTTCCCCAATTCACATTTTCCAAAAAAAATCAGTACAATTTTAAAAATCGTCGATGCGACTCATTGTTCATTGTTTGCATTTTTCAACAGCCGTTAATCGCGCTTCTATATATGGACATTTTTCTAGGGGGGGCGCAGACAAGCTTTAGGGGGGCTCAGCCCCCCTGGCGCCCCCCTCGCTACGGGCCTGGGTTGTTCCAAAATCCGGACGGTATGCAGTTATGCAGTTACAGTCTACTGTCATGACTCAGCTGGACATTTTTCTTTAGAGAAAATAATGTCTCTTATACGCCAAAATTACTGGTTTCCTAACATGAAGAAATACCTATCTCGACATATACGTTGTTGTCTTAACTGCAATAATTATAACAAACAGCCAGCTGGAAAGAAACCCGGGACTCTTCACAACATAAAAAAGATCGCCATCCCTATGGATACGCTTCATGTAGATAATTTGGGACCTTTCGTTAGGAGCAAAGCGAAAAACTCCTATCTAATTGTCTGTGTAGATGCTTTTACCAAGTATGTATTCATGAAGGCGGTTAAAAGTACCAAAACCGCCAATCATAAAATTCCTTCAGGAAATTTTCGAAACGTTCGGAGTTTCTAGGAGGATTATTTGTGATTTAGGCACCGGATATACAAGCAAATCCTTTAACAAGTTCACTAATGACTTGGGAATCAAAGTGATTCATGCAACTGCTACACCATTGGCAAATGGTCAAGTCGAGAGGCATAACAGAACCATTCTGTCCGCACTGTCGACCACGAGCAACCAATAACAGGATTGGGATCAAGGTATTAGTAGGATTAAGTTCGGAATAAACTCTTCAGTCCAGAAAGTAACGGGTAAAACTCCGCATGAACTGATGTTTGGGTACATTCTTATCTAACCAACGAAGTACAAATCGTTCAAACTGCAGCAGACATTGACGACAACAGGCAGACTGCGATTAGAAATATAAGAAAGAGTCAAGAGGAACAGAAAAAGAGATACGACGCTAAGCGTAGGACACCAGCGAAATATTCAGTTGGTCAACAAGTGCTTGTCCGACGACATGTTGGCTCTAATGATGGTAAAAGTAAAAAACTTTTACCGAAGTACAGTGGACCTTACGTGATAAAAGCAGTATTGGACCACGATCGATATGCCATAGAAGACATGCCTAGAGCCGATAGGTCGCAAAAACTCTATAGTGGTATATGTGCAGTTGATCAAATGAAACGATTTACACCTAGAAGTGACAGTATTGAAGAACTTAGCAGTGAAGATTAAAAGACTACTGCTGCGAAGCAAAGTGCTTCGACAAAGCAACGTGCTCTTACGAAGCAAAGTGCTTCGACAAAGCAATGTGCTTTTATGAAGCAAAGTGCTTCTACAAAGCAACGTGTTCTTACGAAGCAAAGTGCTTTGATAAAGCAATGTGCTTTTATGAAGCAAAGTGCTTCGGCAAAAC